TTGTTTCTTCTCGAAAACATCAAATAGGAGCGGAAATTTTGAACCACTGCGATGGAGATACGTGGTTTTGCAATTTGTCCATCGATGTATCGATTGATCTGTCATTTAAACTTATGGAAAAGAATCGATAATCAGGGTGTTCGCAACGAACACCTTAAATCGATACTTTACCGTAGCTTCAAATGGAAAAATACCGATAATTGATCATTCACGCCACGCCAGTGTCGAAGATCCTCTGGGAGCAAAAGGGGAACTTCAAAGTTGACATGAGTCGCGTGATCATCGTTAGCCGTGCACAATAATCAAACACGCAGCTGATGGATGCGCTGACCTCCAATTTCTCATCTCATCATTTTCTCCGCAAAATTAGCACGGGACCGCATTGAATTTTCACGTTACATCCGCGTAATGAGTGGAATCGCTCCCGGTATTTTCCGATCCCTCCCTCATGGTCATGGCGTGGCGTGCTTTGCAATATCGATCGATCTGCTATTTAAACTATAGAAAAGGATCTAAAAACAGGGTCTTCGCAACGAACGCCTTAAAAATAGATTCTTCAAATAGATTAATATCGATGTAGAGAATTTGCACGCCAATTTTTTATTGCTTCATCTTAAAGTGCTCAAAGAGCTTATTTCACAGAATTTTTCATAATTTTTTTCTGATACGGGAAATAGTATAAAAATAGATTTAAAATGGAGAGAATGCACCGCCTAGTGACGTTATCTGGCGGCATTTCCCATTTAAACGCATGTATTTTAGCAGATTAGATCATTTTGTTATATCTTCTCCAATAATTGTTCAATTCATGAACCAAGGGTAGCCTCGCGTTCAGTTTACTCAGTAGTTTCCACTTAAACACGAAATTCATCAAATTTCAGACACCTGCAAATTCTCTATTTGATCATTTACGCTGTCTCGTGGAGCAAAACGATGATCCAACCCCGTTACCAGGACGGTAAAATATTTTTCCGGCGGAGATATCCGCGGCTCCGAAAACTCCTCAACTGGAGTCGAGATTTTTGCCCCAAGTTGGTGGAATTTTCTAAAACTGCAGACAGCTCGGATGTCGGAATACTTTGTTGGATTTTGGTTGAGTTGCAGCAGCCGGGAGCGAGGATTTCGGCTCTAGGAGCCGAGGTTTTTGGAGAGTGGATATGGATGGATTTTGGTTGTGGTGTTTGAAAATTTCCGCTCAGTTTTCATTTTTTGCAGAAGAGGCTCCTCGACTTTTTTCGCGAGATTTTCAGAGAACGTTGCTGAAAGAACGAAGAAAAATTAAACGACTTTCCAAAAAAAAAAAAACAAAAAAAAAAAAACAAAAAAAACGGTACCGAGAAAGAACTATGGTTAAAATTTCTAAATTACCGGTGCTCGATTTGAACTCTTAACGTATACATATCAGTCATAACCATAAGACCACCGTGTTTTACCAAGATTAATGGTATATTTTACAATTCAGGTATGTTTTCATTCAAGAAAAGGGAAAATTACTAACATAGGGATAAGATGACAAATGCTATGGTAAAATTAATGCTAATTTGATGGTAAAATTACCAGAGGATATAATTGTCACTTAGTTAGTCTATAACAACCACCTGCTTTAACCAACACGATTAATATAGATAGCTTTGTCTATAAATTTGAAAAACTAGCACGCAGATTGTCATTCATGAAGATATCAGCAACACTGAAAGAGTCTATTAATACTCCTTCAGCCATACCGAAACAAAATCCGAACCTCTCTAAGATTTCCCCTTCCCCTGCGTAAAATCATGCGGTTTAACCCTTCAAAACCTCCAACTTGTAGGGGTCCGCACCGTTTTAGCGGGCTGATTGTTGAAATTGATAGACAAAGCTATAGATAAAGAAGAGAAAAGAGATATGGAGGGATCCTATCGGTGGAAGCGGGTGGTTACAATGGACAAAGGAGGTCGGTAATAGACTAACCAACAGCAACCCTAGAAAGACCCTATGGTTAGCTCATCATTTTCTTCCGTAGTCTGTAGGAACCAATCATTTCAACCAATAAGGTCGCTCCATACTCCCTATGTCTTCTTTGTCTATCGCTCAGTCTATCAATTTCAAGAATCAGCCCACAGATCTTTGTCGATCCAAAAGGAAACGTCGTAGCCGTCGACTAACTTTTGCAAATGTCTACAAAATTTACATGAAATATATGGATCCTCATACGGTGGTTTACGCAACCTCAGTTCACCTTGCTCCCAAGATCCGGGTAGACGAACCCGCTGCCACGGCACATTCCACTAGATTGCATCCAGTGCAAAATGTTACCGCTTGGCAACCTCGTATTAATTGGACGTATTTCTACGGAATCTATTTCAAACGGAATTATGTGCAATAAGACATGAGCCCTGAGACCCACAAGAATACATGCAGAACAGGGCTCACGTCATAATGCACATAGTTCCGTCTGGCAGAAGTACGTCCAATTCATTTTAATTTCTCATATTGATTATGATTTATGACGACCATCAAACAGTCGAAGAATCGGAATTTCCGCCCTTTGAAGGAAGAGGAAAATGTGGTTGGAATTAACAAAATAAGTCAGGGCTGGATTTACTTACTTGCCGCCTATGGGCCGCCTGATCAATAAAAACCATCAAGTGAACATGACGGAGGGGGAGGGGTTCATAAGACGCGTTTACTCGTGTTGGACACATTTTTTTGCGAGAGCCCTGTCAACACTATACTAGCAAAAGTTCACGGAACTTGGCGCGATAGTAAAGTTCCGTAAACCTATCTCCCTGTGGAAAATGCCTTCCATTTATATGAAATGAACGAAAAAATAATGATAGAACAAACATAAATGTGGTTTTAATAATTTTAACTTCCGCCGCCGCGCCACGCTGACCGCTCTGTGTATGGCGCAATGCGTGAAGTATTCATGCAGTCTTGTAGGCGCTATGCGTCTCACGTCGCCCGCTGCTAACCACAGCGACCGCACTGTCTTTAACGCAATGCGGGAAGTAGTCATGCAGTCCTGTAGGCGCTAATATGTGTTACATGCCAACCGCCGCGCCGCGCCGCGCCGAGGGTTTCTCCGTTGCATCTCAAGTTCTCGTTATCATTGCTCTCTGCGCCGCGCGGTTCCAGACCAAATTCCGTGTCCGGTTTCTCTCTTAGTCTTAACTCGACTAATTAAAGGTCCTGTCTGTTGTATCACAGAAAGACTGAAAAATTAGAAAAACACTCTCAGGAAATGAGAGATTTTGTCACATTTTCTCGTTTGTAATTTTTTTCTCTGGTTCCGAATTTTCTTTATAGCTGCATTTAAAAAAAATTGCATAACTTGCCGCCCCTAAATTTGCCGCCAAGGCCGCGGCCCATGTGGCCCCCTAAATCCGGCCCTGAAATAAGTGGCCCTTTATTTGTGTAACTCTTAATTACTAGTGGCTGTGACCAATGATAGTGGTAATTTTTACCATTAGGTGTTAGTTCCATAAATGCGATGGTAAAATTAACACAAGATTACCCTCAGCTAGAATCATTTCTTGAGTTTTGAAGAGTTCCTTCGAAAATCCTACTTCCGATTTTCCAATTTAACTTAAAAACTCCGTCTTTTTGAGGCCGTCTGCGCTTTGACGGCTTAAGCACATTCCCGATACTTTGCCTTCAATTTGCATGTAGGCCAAAAAACGTTTTTTGTGTAGTCCGTGCGAGGATTAGGGTGTCTTGTGTGTGTGTGTGTGTTTTTTTTTCATATTTTTTTTTACATATTTTGCCTCGCAAAAGATTACATTAAAGTCCAGGCTAACGATTTTGATGGTTCACATATTATTTTCTATTTCGATCTCAAAAATCATGGATGGATACATTATCTAAAAATAATAACACTTTCCTGCATTGCTTTGGAGATAGAGGCAATAATGCTTCAATGATTGGAAGATATACGGCATCAGGATTATTTCAACGATTTTTAATTTTCAATTTTGCTTTATTACCGCTAAGAAAACTTTAAAAAGGCACGCCAGATTTTACCGGAAGTAAGATAAATTCTCTCATGAGTCTACTCAATTTTTGACAGAGATACCGTAGGGCATCAAGGATGACCAGACATCTGGCAACATTTGCCATTTTTTTAATGATATTAATAAGAGATTGACTTTCTACAATGATTAGACTAGATGCTTAAAAAATATTTATATTGCATGAGGTTTATGTTAAAAGATCGATGCATTTTAATCTAGGCTGATCATTGTAAAAAGTAAATATAAAATAAATGCAAATAGCGAGAATACAATGAATTATATAGGAGATTGATCATCAATGTACTGTGTTTAAAAAAAGACTGCAGTTTGCAAAGAGGAACTACAATTTGTAGCTCATCCGTAAAAACTCCCATGTGTATGGAGAAACTAATGGTACATACGTCGTTTCTGGACTGAGCCAGAAATTTTAATTCCAAATCGCAAAATGCAGTCACAATATCTATTTCCTGATTAAGTGTTAAACAAAACTGATGGTTCCCTTTTTTTTCTCTGTTTATTTTGGAAAAAATTGCTCCTTCTGCGTACTTGCAGGATGTAAATGCTCGTAACAGCTACTCTGCCGTGCTAAGGAAGAACGCTGTACGCACATTCCAGAGTTGCCAAATTTCCTTCCATAAAATGTTTATTTTTGAGGAAAGTCATGAATATTTTTCCTTGAAATTTTCAGGAATTTTAGGTGAAGTTGCAAGCAACATTATCTGAAAGATTGGAAGAAAAATATTAAAAAACTTACCCGGAAATTCACGTTTTATCAAAGGAAATTTGGCAACGCCTGAAGGTTCATACGGCGTTTTTCTCCAGCACGGCAGTACTGTTACCATGGCCCAAAACATCTCGCCCATTCAATGTCCTCCACAGCTGACCCTCCACTCCCTTCAGCAGCCCGCTTGAAGAAGGGACGAAGGGAGGGAGGCACTAGGGATTAGGCCACGGGGGAGGGGGGGGGGCTGCGGCACTTACACGCGCTTTTGGCGGGCCATGCGTCGCGCCCACACCCGCACCCTCTTTGTTTACCGCACGCTCCATCTGCACGCTCCGTTCAAACTCCAACCGAATTTCGTCCCGAACGAACGTCCCACAGCTCTCGCTCCTGGAACGTAAAAACGGAGAGAAATAAAACCAAAACGGACTAGAAAATAATCGGATAGTTACCGTCTGCACCAGTCGATTTTTGCCTGTTTTCCCCGCACGCGTACACACGCGAATTGCTGCAGGTTTCGTTTTTCGAGTCGAGTGTGTAATGTGGTGTAACATGTGACGTGTCGAGTAGCCTTTTTGGCCAGCGATAAGGATGAAAGGCTCCTCGCGGTGGAATCTGTGAAAGTTACGGCGCTAAATTTTCTCAACCTTTTTTACCCATGGATTGAAGGACAGGCTGGATACCGAATTTCGGTAAGGATCAAAGTATACACAATTTGATGAGGTATCGTTGGTCAAATGGAAATCTGTCTTCTATTTTTGTACAGCATTTCATTTAAACTTGCTCTACAAGTGATGACAATCGCAGACTTGGCAAATGAAAAAGGCCGGTTGAATTATACAAATCGGGCATTTTTTCTTACTTTCTTCTTTTTTTATAGTAAAATGTACGCAAAAGTTACTTTCAGAACAAAAAATTCATGAAACAAATTACGCAAAAGTTACTTCAAGAAAAAAAAGTCATGTTACAATGTACGCAAAAATTACTTCAAGAACGAAAAAGTCATGGAACAATTTTTGCATTGAGATATTGTCAATTTTTAAAAATAACTTTGTGTGATGTTAAACGCTAAATAATAATGCAAACTATACAGCATTTAAAAGTAAATGTGCGGAATGCCACTTTTGAAACTGACTGAAATAAAATAGTAAAAAGCTCCTAAAAATTCGAGACAGCATTTTCTTGTAAACCCTATGGAGGTAGAAAGACGTTTTGGTTTTGTAAATGGACTGCATTTTGTAATTTGGAACTATAAATTCTGGCTCTTCTGGAAAAACTTTTATGCGCATAGGGAAACTAATGACACTTACGTTGTTTTTAAACCGGGCTAGAATTTATAGTTCCAAATTGCAAAATGTAGTCCAATTGTCTTTTAGCCTACTTACCTGCGATTCTTGTTTCTTGTATATTTATAGGATTCAGTTATAAGTTGAAAAATCGATCTTATTATATGTTGATGTTAGTGCGGTCTAAAACTGTGCTCTGGCATCATAAAAATTTTTCCATTAGTGTGACAGCTTTAGACGTAGGATTATGGAGTGTTAATTTCAGAATGAGCTTTGATGAGGGTGCAGTGTTACACAATTGAGGGATCACACCAAAATGCGAATCTCCTTACTCTTTCGTCTACCGGGGCCCATGAGAAGTCTTATCTACACGTGCTTTATTGTGTCAATATTGACTCCAATCCTGGAACAATTCCCGAGGAAAAATACGAAACTTTCTGTTAAGTTTTGGTGTACTCTATTCTCAGTAACAATAATTCACAACATTAAAAAAATTGATTTGAAATAAACCACTCGACAAGATAGAGCCTATACATTAAACCATGTATAATAATATCTTCTTATTCATATTCCCCATGAAAAACGGTACCCGATGAATTCGCATATTTAAAGTGTTCTTAACCATCCCATACACTGAAGAAAAATATTATCTCATCTTTGAATTTCAATCGACATTGTTGCCGAAAACCCGATAGTCTAAGTTTACCGGTATAGTGGATATTGAAATAGAATAGAGAGCTATTTTTAAAAGCCATGGCCAATACCACTTCCGTCGAGATTCTCTCATTTTTTCCTTTTTTTCTGAGGAGTTGAGGGGAGGGAGGAGATTCAAACTGACCAATCACTCTAATTTATATTCAAAATTTAGCTGAGCTAGAATCCGCTGATTGTGCTTTGAACACCTGTTCTCATACATATTCGCACAAGTTGCTTGTGTAGCACTCTCCGGCGCACTGCGATCCATTCCCGACATTTATTCCCAAAAATCCGCAGGTAGGTACATCGTTGCGGAAAGCAAGCACTCGCCTCTTTGACCTATTCTCGCCTCTAACTTTTTCAAAGCGTCTCCTGTTTTCGCAGAAATCGAAATTATACCTAGCTTTTTTCTAATGCCTTTACGCTCCTGACTGAACTTGTTTCTAACTTTTCAGCGAAAAAAATTAAACTATGTTGAGATGCACGCTTGACTTTATCCTGAAATGACCATGAAACGTCCTCGTCACTTTCGTCACTCTTAGATAAGGCCTAGTCCACATGTCAGGACGGCAATTTTGTTAAATACTCAAGCAATCAAAGCATTATTTGAAAATCGACTATGTCGCGATACAAATTGGTAATAGTTTACTTCATCGGCACAATAGGTAACGCTGGAATTAAGTTACGACTTAAGAAAAAGGAGTTGGTTACGATCAAATGCGATGAACACTATAGAAATTTCATTTTAACTCCTGGATGCAACTATTCGGACTCCATGGATGTCCGTGTTGCATGCGCACGCAAGTGAAGGCGTTTTGACTATCCGGGCACTCGCCACTTCAACTTCACCCGCGACACCGCAGCTCGGCGCGCGGTGAGCTTCACTGCGTGAATCCAAAATGGCATAGCACTTTCAATTCTGTGTTTATACTAAAAATATACCTGCCCGGCAGAAATAGTTGCATACCGGCGTAAGATGTTAGTATTTCTTGTGGTGGTGATCGCGACTTACAATTGTCGCAATCTCAATGATCTAATTTTTAGTTATAGTACCACGATAAGTTCGCTTATTCACAATGCAAATGGAAAAGGAGTGTTCAGCAATTAGAGTACCAATCCTGGAATGCTTTTGCTGTCTTTTTTATGTACACTACACAGAGAAAAAAACTTCGTGCATGGGAGCCGAAGTTGAGGTCATATGGATCTCTGAAGTTTTTTGATCACGCATCCGAAAACTTGAGGTCGAGCTGCCGAAGTTCGGGTCAGACATCGAGGCACTTCGGTGTGTACCGGAGTACTTCAGATGCCTGACCCGAACTTCGGCAGCTGGACCTCAAGTTTTTAGATACGTGATCCGAAAACTTCAGAGATCCATATGACCTCAACTTCGAGTCCTACGCACGAAGTTTTTTTCCTCCGTGCATTTGACAGAAAATGAGCCATTTCTTTGGCTGCTCGCTCCTGAGTCCATTCGATGCGCTTGGATCCGCCTGCCGGATCAAAGCGTTCATTTCAGTCCTGATGTCAACAACTGAAGAGTGCGGGAATACAAAACCTTTCAAGTGCCATCAGTTGTTGCTAAGATCGTACATGTTACTTACTGTACATATTGGATTGTTAACACCTCCGCTTGTTAATCTTTTATTGAGAATTTTCCTCTAAATTTTGATCCTATTTCCATGTCGACATTTTTTTCTCGTAAGTCACTGGGCTCCCGTGAAAAAAAGAAGATCATTGCACAATCTTAGTAACATCCGATGACGCTTTCCAAGTTTTGAGTTTCCACACTTCACTTGAGCCACATTATCATGCGTTGCCATCCGGTACGAAAGTCGTCCCGGTGTTTGGACCGCGTGACGCAGAAACGAACCAAGCCACATCAGCTATTGCCAAATTTTATCGGGCAATTTCATATTTTACATGAAAACGGTTATGAGGATTTTTGTGAAAATTTCAGTGAGTTTTCTGCATGGTGCGACGCAAATCCCTCAAAATTTTCAAAGGGATCCGCACAAACGTTCTCTTGTAAAATATTATATTGCCCAGTTAATTTGGCAATAGCTGATGTGGCTTGGTTCCTTTCTGCTTAACGCGGTCCAGTTAATCTCCCTGCAAACTGAAAGCTCTCGAAGCCAGTGAGACCTCTATTTGCAATAATTTTGCGGCTGCGTCAAATTACGTAGATTAGATAAAAACGCGACAGAGGAAAGCACCGATATCGAGTCATAAATTTTTGCTCCTCTGACGTAAGGGTGTATACCTACACCTACCAGTGGCGTGGCGTGTTTCGCGATTTGAAGATTGGTCTGCCATTTAAACGTATGGAATAGGATCGATGAACACGGCGTTCGACCTTCATAATCGATTCTATACTATAGCTACAAACGGGGAAATATCGATAATCGATCATTTACGCCACGCCTTTGACACCTGCAGCTTCACGTGGGCCCTGAAGAAAATGAAATCTTACGGACACCACACCTCGGCATATCTCAAAGCTCTCACGCCTTTTCGTTGTGCGGCGTAATGGAGTGAATGCAGCCATTTCCTTCCGATCGCGTGACACTTTCTAGCACACGAAAGTGTATCGGCGCGTACAGACTGTCGGGCCCGCACGTTTAGTCAAACGTCATTAGCAGGGCTAACACATTATAATGGGGTCTACGGTAAAGAGGTAAAGCACACGGTTATTCTGCCTTCAATTTCCGAGGTAGGCCAATAAACATCCGTCGTGCGAAAATAGTAATATTGTAGAGTGAGACGTCTTGCATTGAGGAAAAGAGTTTCCGGTTCATATTGTAAACCAACGTTTAGTTCCCTATCACAGAAACCGCACCATGGTTCAGCTACTCGAAATTCCGTTTCCGTGACTGGAAACTTTGGTTACCTCGACCGAAAAACTCTACTCTTTAATATGAGCTGAAGCCCAGTCCCAGTACGTAACCAACGTTTTTTTCTCAGAGTGTGTTGACTGAGAATAGATGTAAATCATACCAAACCTCGCTTGACGAATTTAATGATAGCTCTTTATTCCATTCTTTATTCCATTCATGTCAGTAAGATGAATGATAAGTAAATATTTCAAAAATAACGTAATCTCCCAAATTTATTAAGAGAAGGAGTACTTTCGTAACGTAAAAGCAGAGCACACTAAACTATACCCATCACTCTCGGAAAATTTAACTATTTTGACGAGGGAAATGGCATCGTCGGAAAGAAAAGTACTATAAAATAAAAAAAAATTACATAACTAGAAAAAATTCGTCCGATGAAGAAAAGTCGTACATCACAATAATTAACATTTTAATTTAACGCGATGAATCGATTTCTTAATCCATCTCCAATTTTCTTCCAAGGGCTGTACGGAAACTGGCATAAAGAAATGTTTTCTTCCTTTATGGTGAACCAGAGCCGGATCAAGGGGGTGGCCACATGGGCCGCGGCCCATGGCGGCAAACATTTGCAATTTTTTAAAGTGTAGGTTTAAAGAAAATCGGACTCATAAAAACAAAATTACATACGAGAAAAGGCGACAAAATCTCTTACTTCCTGAGTGTATAGTAATTTCTAATTTTATCGTCTCTTAGTGATACAACAGACTGCATCCTCAATAAGTCGAGTTACAAGAGAAACCAAACACGCAATTTGGCCTAGAACGGCGCGACTTAGAGAGAAATGATTACGAGGACTTGAGATGAAAAGGAGAAGCC